GATTTTATCCTCTCCTTTCTACTTCCCAGTTTTGAGTTTCATTTTTTTCCTGCTTTTCAACTTCCTCTTCATGATTCTTGTTTCCTAATTTACAATAGAGAATAGTAGCTCTTCAAAATAACTTTTTAACCCGAGAATACTTTTTTTCTTCTTTCAATTTGTCCCTAACCAGTTTCTTTCTCTGTTCCTTTATAGTTTACACATGGAGAATTAGATAAAAATAATCTCAAAAGACCACAAATTCAATGGAGACTTCAAAATGATAATTATTGAGTAAGATTGATACTCAATAATAGAATCAAAAATAATAATGATAGACTCAAAATAATACTCAAGACTTCAAAATGATAATTATTCAGTAAGATTAATTATTTAATGACTATATATATATACACACACACAGAGTATTTGGATCTTTGTGTTAAATACTCTACAGCATTATCATGAAACTTTATAGTACAATTTAAAGAGATCTAGCATTTTAGGGAAATAATTTGATATAAAGAATTAATTTCATACAAGTCAAAATCGCCTATGCGCTATTTCTTGGTCAACAGATTTTATCCCAGCCTTGTCCTGATTATTTCCAGTTTAGGCTTGCATTTCTGATCTTGATTCTTTATTTTCTTATCTGTTGTGACTATAGCTGAGTTGATGCATAACTGTTAAAGAAAATTACCTGCAACACCTCCTTCAGTAATTAGTTTTTAAAAGGACAATTGTAGTAAGTTTCATGGATGGGAGTGAACTAGCTGAACAGATGCCTGACATGACACTGCCCTTACCAGCCCTATGTTGCAATCAGTTCCACCTTTTACTTATGTACAAGCCTCAGATATACACTTTCAAAGTCATTCTTCATCAAGATAAGTAACATGTCAACTTTTAACTGTCAGTAGGCAGCACCTGAAATAAGACTTACTACTACGTAAGCTCACTTACTATGTAGGTGAGCTCCTGCATCAGTTTTCTCCTCTTTCCTTTCTTTCCCATATTGACTTCACCCTTGTAATCCATTCCCTTAGATTCCCTTAGGAAAGTCTTGCTTGGCTTGGTGCCCATAGCACAGTGGTTATGGCGCCAACCACATACACTAAGGCTAGTGGGTTTGAATCCAGCCCGGGCCAGCTAAACAACAACAACTGCAAGAAAAAGTAGCCAGGCTTTGTGGCAGGTGCCTGTAATCTCAGTTACTTGGGAGGCTGAAGCAAGAGAATCATGTAAGCCCAAGAGTTTGAGGTTGCTGTGAGCTGTGACATCATGGCACTCTACTGAGGGCAATATAGTGAAACTCTGTCTCAGAAAAAAAAAAAAAAAAGTCTTGCTTGGATTCTCGCTAAGCCAGTCTGGTGGTGCCTCGAGTAATGTGTTGTTTAGCCTTGAGAGGATCTGATTCTTTCCTCATAGTCCCAGCTATTGGCTGGTATCCCACAGATCACTCATGGACATTCAGAACCAGGATGCTTTCAACCACTTGATTGGTAGAATGCATTCCTACAGCTGAGTTGTAGCACAATTTTACCTCCTTGGTGAAACAGTTTGGTTCCAAATCCTAGTTTATGACATCTCTTGTGACTATATGTTTTGTTGTTGAATATAGATCTTTTTATCACCATCTACTATTGCTATCCAGTTTCAGCTTTTACTCCTATTCTAAGAAGCCTCTGAGATCCCACCACATATTACATCTAAGGTTGCTCAGTTTTGATTTAGACACAAAATAGTCATGTCTTTCGTCTTGTCGATTGATGTTAAGAGTAAGGAGGGTTGACTTAGATAATCTCCATTACTATTTTCTTATTCTATGTTACTAAAATTTAAATTTATAAATTAAACAAGAAATTTTGGAGTATTATCCTAAATATTTGAGAAATTATGGAAAAGACCCAATATGAGATGGTAGCTACTATGCCAGGTTGTTCAGATCTATCATTGATAGAATCCTGCAATGTGTCAGGCTTGACGCTATACGGATTATATTAATTATTTCATTGTATGTAAAAATCACAGTTGCATATAAGATTTCAGTACTCTAGCCTTGGAAGATAAAAATTAGAGAAGTTAAACAATTTTCATTATATCATAAGTTGAAAAATCTAGGATTTCAACTTCATCTGTGTAAATTTAAAACTTGCTCAAAATTTCGTTGTGCTACGCATCAGTGTTTCCCTTTGGTGGTGAAAATTGTTAAACTAATTCATTTTTATGAATAATTTTAATAAAAAATAAAATGAATTTGTGTTATATGCATATGTGAATCACTCGAGTGGCAAATAAATGTTGATGTAATTTTTCCATATACTATCATTGTTCATAGTCATATAAATGCACACGTATCAGGGTTTCAGGCCTCTGACGTTTGATAGATTTGCTTCCCTATTTGTTACTCTCTATAAGTCATTTTCTTGTCAATATTCAGGAGACATGAAAAGTAAATATTTCCTTATGTGCTAAATTATTAAGACTTATTAGTTTCTGTTGTACAATTAGTTTCTGTTTGAGCAATAAACTCTTAAAATTAACTTTGCTCATTTTCATAGCCACTAACCAAAGTTAACCAAATTTAAAGACACCTTTTAGTATATAAGCTTGGCTTAAATATCATGATCTCTTTAAGGTTATTAATGTCAGTTATCCTGAATGCAGCATTATCTGACGACTAGAAAAATAACTAAAAGTTTATGCCCTACCAGTGATATAGGTTTCAGTTGGAAAAACTGTTTATTGTTTTAAAGCTCAATACTGGGTGTCTTGATTTATGATACCAAATATGCCATATTGTTTGTTTTCACTTAAATAAATCAGATTATTTTTTTAATTTCATAATTGTACAACAATGAGTCAAATTATTATTTTTTAAATATTCTGACTATCTGTATCTAGTACTGTAGATAAACGATTTTAAATTTTAATGTTAGCAAAGGAGTCCTGCCAGATTACATACTGAACACATTCTCTTGATTTTATTTCATAACTTTAATATTTTGGGATATATTCAGAACGAAGATACAGCACATTGAAAAGAATCTCTATTGTTTATTTTTAAGTTTCCCTAAAAACAATAAAACACCAGGGCTTTTCTTATTATAAACTCTTAAATCAAAGGAGGCAACTAACTACACAGCATTTTGTGTTTGCAGAGATGTTACAACGTGATCTTAGAAGTGTTTCTTCTGGTGAAGCCAATTCCCTTACTGCAAAATTAACTCACAGAAACTTGACATTAATGAATAGCTATTGTCTCTTAGATGCCCCTGTACTTACATCAAGTGGAGAAGATGAGGAAGAGACAGGGCTTTGAGGTCCCATTCTGTTCCCAGAAAGGAGAGTATTTATGGGAAACCCATTCTCAGGAAAATCATTTACCCCAAAGAAAAACTAATTCCTAAGGGATCACTCCTGTAAATTGTATTTGCTTGTTTTCCCTTTGTGCCTCAGAGTCAGTCTGCTCACCTAGATCGACTTCCCTGTCCCATGCGGTTTCTTCATCAACATTTTTTTCCAGATTCATTAAGGAGCAATTGTCAAATAAAAATTGTGTGTACATTTACAATCATATTATAATGTGATTCTTCTTCTTTTTTTTTTTTTTTTGAGACAGAGTCTCACTTTGTTGCCCTTAGTAGAGTGCCGTAGTGTCATAGCTCATAGCAACCTCAAACTCTTGGGTTCAAGTGATTCTCTTGCCTCAAACTCTCAAGTAGCTGGGAGTACAGGTGCCCACCACAGTGCCTGGCTATTTTCAGAAAGGAGGTCTTGTTTTTTCTCAGACTGGGCTCAAACCTGTGAGCTCAGGCAATTGACCTGTCTCGGCCTCCCAGAATGCTAGGATTATAGGTCTGAGCCACCATGCCTGGTCATATAATGTGATGTTTTGAGATACATGTACACCTATCTTAAATACTGTTTACTTTTTGACTTGCTATGATATTAAAATTATATGTCAAGAAAAATACAAATATTAAAAAAAATTGAAAAGGGTATAAATATATTTGTCACACCTGTTTTGGGAAGATGACCACTGAGATTAACTTTGCTTTTCGATTTTAGACCCAGTTATTCCACAGAGAGAAATACTTAAAGTTTTTTTTCCCATAAAGATCAAAACAAATAATTTTAAGACTGGAGATAATAAAGAGACATACAGATGTTTTTGTCTCTCAGTGGCTCCTCAAACTTGAGATCTTGTTATAAATACAGGTTCTCAGGTTTCATCCCAGAATCCACAAAATAAAACATTATGGCAGTAGGGCCCAGGAACCTGCATTTTAATAAACTTTGTTAGAGAAGTTTTAGGTTTACAGCAAAATGAGAAGAAATTACAGGCTTCCCATACACCATTCCCACCTTTACATGCACACTCTCCCCCTCCACAATCAATATTCCCCCAAAGACTGGCACATTTGATACAACTGATGAACTAACAATGATGTGAAATTATCATCCAAAATTTATTGATTGAATCAGGTCCACTATTGGTGTTGTATATTCTATGAATCTGATAAATGTTTAATGTCATGTATCTCCCATTGTAGTATCATACAGAGTAGGTTTATTGCCTTTCATAAACCCTGTTTTATTAATCTTTCCCTTTGTGCACTTCTGGCAACCAGTGGTCTTTGTAATGCAACAAAGTTTCACTTTTTCCTGAATGTCATATAGTTGTAATCATACAAAACATAACCTTTCAAATTGATTTATTTCACCTAGTAATATGTATTTAAGTTTCCTGAATGTCTTTTCATGGCTTGCTGCCTCCTTTTAGTATTGAATAACATTCTCTTACTCTGTTAGAATAAAGTAGCTGAGAGAGTGAGAATACGAATTAGTATGTTGGTGGTAGAAAAGATAAGATTTCCTCAGGAAGGATAACTCCATTGTAGAGATATTTCAGTTGGATAACATCTAGTTATGCTAAACTCTAAAACTGTATGTATTTATGAGTCCACTTTGTACTATTTTCCTAACTTTGAGGTCAATCTTAACAGAAGTAGTAAATGTTAAATCCAAGTTCCCTTGGAACACACTAGTTTCAGCACAGCTTTCTGAATCTGCTTTGTTTTTACACTGTAGATGATGGGATTCATCACAGGTGGAAGGAGGAGGTAGAGATTAGCAATGAGGGTGGGCACAAAAGGGGGAGCTTGTTTTCCGAATCTGTGAACAAAGGACAGGCTGATTAAAGGGATGTAAAATATGGCCACAGCGGTGATGTGAGAGACGCAGGTGCCAAAGGCCTTCTTCCTCTCCTCTGGGGACGCAATGCTGAGAACCGAGCGGATGATGAGGATGTAGGAGAGCAGGATGAAGATGGAGTCGACTCCAGCGGTGGAGATGATTGCAGTCAGGCCGAATGCACTGTTGATCTTCGTGTCTGAACACGAGAGCTTCATCACATCAGGGTGGAAGCAGTAGGAGTGGCGGAGCACATGGCTTTGGCAGAAGGACAGTCGCTTAAGTAGCAGGACTAGTGGTGTCAAAATGACAGTTCCCCTGGTAATGACTGCCAAACCAATCTGTGTGATTCTTGCATGCGTTAGAATGGTAGCATATCTCAAGGGGTTGGAAATGGCCACAAAACGATCAAAGGCCATAGCCAGGAGCACTGAGGATTCCATGAACCTGAAGAGGTGAATGAAGAACATCTGCGATAAACAAGCATTGAAGCTGATCTCCCGGGCATGAGCCAGAAGATTCCCAGCACCGTCACCAGGGTAGAGATGCATAAGCCGATGTCAGTGGTGGACAACAGGGAGAGGAAATAGTACATGGGCTCATGGAGGCTCGGCTCAGTGAGGACTACGAATAGAATCAAGGTATTCCCAGAAAGGGCCGTCAAATAGAGGCAGCAGAAGGGGATGGAGATCCAGGCGTGGGCCCATTCAAGTCCAGGGACTCCCGTCAGGAGGAAAGTCGTGGAAGTGGAAGTATAGTTATAGAAGGTTGGCATGTGGAACATGGAGTCTGTGGGAAAAGAATTCTCTTATAAGGTTTGGATTTTTTAAATTTAGAAATTTTGAATTATTTTAGTTCATAAAACTTTAGAGTACAACTCAGTGAAATTTGACATTTACATTTATTCATGTCATCATTTCCAGGGTCAATTGATCAAACATTAATAGTGACCCAGAAGGTTTTCTAATGTTTTACCCTCCCCAATGTCCTCTATCATAGTAACCACTCTTCTAACTTCTGTTATCATTACTGCTTCTCCATATTATTGATTTTGACAGAATCATGCACTATTTTTACATGGGTTTTTTCATTCAACATTTTGTCTGTTAAATTCATCACTGAACTAGGTTGTTTTCTATTTAATTTTATTTATATGCTTTGCCTTGGTGTTTACTGTTTACCATCTTGTATTCTCGTCAAACATTTTGGTTAAATATTTTATACTTCAGCTAACTGTATTTCTAAATATAGTTATGATATTAAGAAATATTTTTTGATAATCTTCACTTAGTATAGATGCTTGCTTATAATATTAAACATGGATTTGTCATTGACTTACATTTATTTGTTCTTTCTGAAATATTTTACCTGCTATTTGGGCTAGGCATAGAAAAATAATTGACTAATTTTGATTTTTGGTTTGGAATTTTAGAATTATTAAATTCAGATACTAAGTTTTATTTGCCTCACTTTGTGAACTGGAAAACATCTACTTTCAAGTCCTACATATACTTAAGAAGGTACCCCCAGATAATAGCAGTTCATCATACCTCATTATATATGTTTACTGGGGGAAGATGCTTCAATTCCTATGAATCTGAAACTTGATTATTATTTTTAGTTTGTAACACTAAAATACTGTGTTTTTTATGATTATAAAATCTGCTTCTATTGTGTAAAATTCAAAGAGGTAAATAATAAGCTTCTTTTGTAATATGTATGCCCTGGCCCTTAATCTGGCCTTTGATCTCTTAAAAGATTACTGAGATATGTAATATTATGTTAATGATAAAAGTTTTAAAAATTTTACATAGGTTATTTCATATAAGCCTTGTGGCAAACCTGAGAGAGGTATTTCTTTTTTTACAGAAAAAGCATAAAATGAAGTTATATACATTAAATAATTGTTTTGATAAACTTTCAAAGTTCACAAAACTGAAAGAGATGATGTTGGGAATCAATCATAGAAAAAAATACCCTACACTCTGTGCCACTAACAACTACACTATACGACCTAATGATAACAATAATGGTAATAATTATCATTTTATTTAAATTAATAACATATTCATTAATAAAGCAAATGTGGGATAGATATCTATGTTTGAAAATCATTTAAAATTTCTATGGTTGAGACTTGAAAAAATTTCATTTCAGGATATAATATTTTCATATGATATGTAATTAAATTATTGAGATTTATTTTTAGCAAATAGTAAATACTTGAGATAATACTGAATGCTATACCTCAAATTCATCTATTTTGCAAATGATATATTTGTTATAAAAGTGAAGCTATTGCTTAAAATATATTTTAAATTTTTTAGTAATTTTCTTTATCTTTATGACCCATCCAAGATTATTCTAAGTTTGCTTATTTTTATATAATTTCTGTCATCTAATTGACTATATAGCTTACATATGGATGTATATAAAAATTAGTTTGGCTATTTCTTCAAATATTTTGTTGATTTCTATATACTTTCAATTTTATAGGATTCCATGGGCAATGCTTTTTATTTATTCATTTTTCTATTTGAAAGCTCTTCTCTTTTTCCTAATCTCCTGAACATTAGATTTGTACATCTAACTCCTTGATTCTTCCACTCTACTGTTTCAAAGTAATCTCAAACACAAAATGACTGCGTTTGAACTTGGTCTTCTCTACAAAACCACAACTTGTATTTTCTATTTTCCCCATTTTCATTAATTTATCTATGATAGTTCTGTAGATCATTAGGAGAGTTATAGAGTTACCATATGGTAACTGTGGTAACTCCATATATCAAGTTCCCTAATTCGGAAATCTGCACATACTCTCACTTTCCGTCTGTTGATTGTTAATTTCTGTTTTTACTACTACTCTTTCTAGTTCATACATTGTATTGCTATCACTTTTTTTCTAACACTTAAAGCAGACTTTTATTTTAAGGCAACTTTAACTAGCATTATCTGAAACAGTCTCTCTCAACTTCTATTAAATTCTCATCACAGATGAAGAGGAAAATAAACAAACATAGGAAGCACTAATAAGAACTGATGGATATTCCAAATCCAAAAAGCTGTGATGGCAGTTAACTTCCTTGAACTAAGGGATATGGAGACATATTGAGTCCAAATATAGGATGACACTTGCTGTATCTCCATCACCTCTACACTAAGAAATCCAGAGTTCGGGAACAGTATTTCTTTTTATAGGATGCTTAACTATAAGGTGACTTGGGAGTTTTTCATTATACCATAAATTGCAGCTCAATAAACACAGCCAAAATTAATGGGAAAATAGCTGGAATTGGTAGAGAAACATTGAATTGTGACATAAATGTTGACCTACACACATCTTTGTCAGCAGAAGAGAGGACAGAATTAAAACAGAACATTTTGGGAATTTAGATTGATAATATCCTCTAATATTAGGTTGATAATATCCTCTGATTTTGAAATGGCAAAGAAGTAGATAGTGTTGATCACATGGATAGTATCTTAGTGAAATAGCAGGCTGCTAGAAACTGAGAATTGGCCCAGAAACTGTACTCCACATAATCATGCTTATTGGGGAAGCAATTGTGAGCAAGCCATACACAATTTATCTAGAAAAGCAAATTGCTGCAGTATTCCTGCTTTGCAGTAGGGTTTGTATAACGAAAAGAAACATTAGCATGAACACTTTAAAATATTGCACTAGGAAGAGAAATAAGGCTCGGTTCCTGTAGCTCAGTGGCTAGGGCACCAGCCACATACATTGGAGCTGGAAGGTTTGAATCCAGCCTGGGCCTGCCAAACAATGACAACTACAACCAAAAAAAAATAACCAGATGTTGTGGTGGGCGCCTGTAGTCCCAGCTACTTGGGAGGCTGAGGCAAAAGAATCACTTAAGCCCAAGAGTTTGAGGTGGTGGTGAGCTGTGATGCCACAGCACTCTACCAAGGGCAACAAAGTGAGACTGTGTGTCAAAAAAAAAAAAAGAAAAAAAGAGTAATAAAATCTGATAAATTCAGAGCAGGAGCATACACATAGCGATGTAACAATGTTGATAAATCTATCGCATTGTAAAGAGTCAGTCATCATCATCACAGATGCAACAACTTCTGCAGAACTAAGAAGAAAACATCCTTAAGTTAAAGCAGGCAATAGCATCATGTAGGATTATGGAAGATCAAAAAACACATTGGAAGGAAAAGCCACAATAATAAAATACTAAAATCATAATAGAATTAAAATGCATGCTTTACATAATTAAAGGCAGACTTGAGGGAGAGTAACTAATTTGGAGAGTTTGTTTGAATAATTCTCCTACCATACATAAGAAAAATAGTGAAAGGAAAATAATGAGAAAATCATATTTGAGAAGGATAAAAAATGAAAATCCAATATTAACAAGTGTCCCAGGAAAAAAAAGTAGAATAAAAATGACAAAAATTCCAGAATATGGGGGATGAAGGGGGCCATTGTATTGCAGGTAAACTTAGTGAAGATAAATACAAAAACAGGTATTTGACTTCCATGAGTTTTTTTTTGTTGTTGTTGTTGTTTGTTTTGAGACAGAGTCTCACTATGTCACCCTGAGTAGAGTGCCATGGTATCACAGCTCACAGCAACCTCAAACTCCTGGGCTTAAGCAATTCTCTTGCCTCAGCCTCCCAAGTAGCTGGGTCTATAGGAGCCCACCACAATGCCCAGCTACTTTTTGTTGTAGTTTGGCCAGGTTCAAACCCTCCACCTTCAGTATATGGGGATGGCGCCCTAACCACTGAGCCTCAGGTGCCACCCTGAATGATTTATTTTTATGAAATAACTAGAAAAAAAATTTTTTTTTTAGAAAGTAGAACAATGCTCACAGTCTGGCAGTGGAAGTGCGATTATCAGCAAAGCCACATGAGGGAATTTTTCAGGATGGTGGAGAAATGTCCTAAAATTGGATTGTGGTAATAATTTCACAGTACGAATTTACATAATTCTTTGAGTTGTATAATATACATATATATTATATGAATGTATTAATTATATAATATATATACTGTATTACAACTCTTTGAATTGTATAATATATAGGTGTTATATATATGTATGTTATACAATTTACACACACATAACATATAATATAATGTATCATATGATATATACACATCACACATATATACATATCAATAAAACTGTTAAAAATAAGGCTGTATTTAAATTCTTTCATGAGATACTTATCATAAGAAACTTATTACAATAGATGAATATCAATAGTATTTTTGGCAAAATACAATATTAAGTCCAGTTAGTTTCACTGGGAATAGAGAAAAGCTCAGAAAATATACCTACCATATTATCTTTGAAATAAAATGTGAAATGTTGGTATGTTCTTTGATTGAGAATTAACTAGGAAATGAAGCAAACAAATGCCAAGAAAAAGAATGCATCATCTGAAATGACTGACGGAGACATTTGCCAACATAGAAGGATTTTCTGTGATTACTAAAACAATCAGATACAGAGAAATGTGTCTAAATTATGACATTTGATGTGGATACAATTGAAATTATTTAGTACCTGTTTTGGAAAAAAATACAACCCTGGGCCAGAATTAAAAGTATAACTATTATGTATCTGTAATAATTTCAAAAGAAGTCTTAGAGAAAAAGAAAAGGAAAAGTACAGGTAAGGCTCAGGTGACCACTTAGTTGAGTGTGAAGGTGGGCTTTTAAACCAGTAGTAATAAAGTGAGTTCTTGAGTAAAAGAAGTTAGATAAACTGACTATCCTTTGGGATAAAAAATTAAGATAAAG